ACGTGTCTCTTGTGCCGGTAGCTGAGTTTCTAGCCGGGATGACACCTGCGCTGATACCTCTGAAGATATACGTGTCTCCAGCGTTTGCATCTGGGATGACAGCTGTGATGACATCTGTGACAGGCGTGTATCCTGTGCTTGCATCTGTGACGATAGCTGTGATGACAGCTGTGACATGGCAGCGAATAACGTTTTCATGTCTGTAGCTGTTGATGAACTAAGAGCCTTTTGCTGTTCTTCAACCTTACCGGATGTCTGCTGCACATCCTTCGACGAACAAGAAGCTTCATCCTTCTGTTCGTCCTTTGCGGATGCATCGTCGGGTTTACCCTGGAAGTCGTATTTGCCCACCTCGATGCCTTCAGCTTCCATAGCCTCCCGCAACGGGGATAACAATTTCACTTTTCTTCCGGAGGTGGCCAAATTACGCGTTTCCAACTCCTGAATTTTCGCCATTTTCAGTAGTTTATCCTTCGGGATTTATTTAACAATCCCACTTCTGACACCAATTGTTACGATTATCCTTGAAACCTCGTCCGGATTTCCCAAATCTCTCGGTTCGTATCGCTGGATTGTTAAATAAATGCAATCGATGACCAAATTGTAGTACAATTAACTTTATTGTACAACAAACAATTTACAATACTCATATATGTAATACTCCTATATTGGCAGTAAGAGCTAGTACCGTCCGAAAACACTACAGTACAGATATATCAATAAACACGTACGAAAGAAAAGGAACTCACATGATTCAATAATACAAGGTTCGATAAACTGACAGTTGTCTCTCTCGCACCGCTCCCTTAGCAGTGGCACCGTGTTGCTTCTTTGCAAATTTACATGGAAACAGTGTAGCTTTGGTGTGAAATAAAAGTATAAGCTTTTGTTCAATATGTTTATTTGTATATGCATATGAAGCATATTTAACTGATGAAAACGTAAGCATTGGATGCTTACATCAATCTCATAGTAGTCTTATTTTATTTTTGAGGCATTTCGCAGTTTTTATACGGCTAAATAGCATATAAATTACGTAATTCACGTAGATATATCAATATTACGTTCAACATTTCGTTTAAAATGCCAGATTTCCTGCAAATACATTAGAATTTACGAAAGGAATTTCACTATTAATTGCCTTCTTTTAGTACTTTTCTACTACCATTTTCGCAACAAGGGATTGCATTCTTGCCCTTTCTCTGTCCTTCGTAAATGCAACCTTTTGTAAGGGAGTGTCAAACCGCAGTTGTCAATAATTATCTAACCTTGTATTATTGAATCATGAGGAACTCATACGTTTATAAATAAACATGTACACGACACATTTACAAGACCGGCACTCAAGTACACAATACATTGACAAAAACAGTACTAGACTGTCTCGCTTTGATTTCGGAATGCTTACACATTGAGATGTTAGCTTACTACCAATATAGAAGTATTACATATATGACAATACTCGCTAATACAGTAAAACACTTTACAATACTTTTTAAAGCAATAACAGCGCTTAACTAAACTTGGTAACACAATTAAACTTATATCTTGCTTATTCGCAACTCACTTCTCTCTGCTCACTTTACTTGTAGCTTGCTGTCTTGTAACTAACTCACCTCGCTGTGGCGGCGCCCTTATATACCTGCGCTGGCACTTATGGCAACTCTAGAACATTCTGAATTTTATCGCTCATTCGCTTTCTCTCGCTGTTCGCAGTGTTCATCCAACTTGACGTTTCTCTTTGTGGAACATTCTACGTCATTCCTCGAACATTCTGCCTATTTCTCGTTGTTCGCTTTGTGTTGCCGCAGTATTCGCCACAATAAATTCCCATCAAGGCGAATTTATACAAGGTGGTGTTGATGGCGAATTTAGATTTTCGCGGTACTTCCTAATGTCAAAATCATGATACAATAATTTTTAGAAGGTAGTTTCACTTCAAAATTTTTGACATAAACCGTGTCTGTGACAAACGAGCAATGTGGCCACTGCTACGATATAGAACTTGGGGATTATCGCTTGTTATTTTAGATATTTTTTAACAGAACATGTAAAGATTTATATGTTTCATAACTGATCACTTAATTTTTAATATAAATATACCTATTTTATACATACATTTTTGCCACTGCTAATCACATGAATAAAAATCATAAAAATGAAAATATGACAGCAATATTTCTTGTTTATAATGGATTAGATCCATCGCACACCACGGACTTTATGGGCCGCCAATTTAGATGTGCTCGCTAGTCTTTCCATTGCACCACAACCTATTGGTCAGAGCGATTAAGCTGGGGTAATGGCGCACCTCCATACATCTTCATGTACATATTTCAAGCGAGCCCTATCATTTAAATAGGCGGCCGATAAAGTCTTTGGTGAGCGGTGGCTCTTATAGCTGTGTCCTTACATCTATTCCGTGTGTTGCAATATCCAGGAAAGCAGCAGTTAATTTTTTATGAAGAAAATTATTACAAAATATTCGAAAATTTCTCTACTTATATGTTTGGCTTTTCTTTCTTTTATTTTTCCAACATCAAAAGCTGGATTTTTTTTTTGAAAAAGTTGGTACAACAAAAAATACGAAACACGTTTTCTGTCAGATAGCTAACATGGCGGATAAGAAGAAGAAGTGAAACTACCTTCTAAAAATTATTGTATCATGGTCAAAATTATATTGTTACGATTATCCTCGAAACCTTGAGGGATTTCCCAAATATACT